TGCAGTTCTCTAGTGTTCGGAGTCTTTTTGTCTGATGTTGGAACGTGCGTGTGACTGCCTGTAGGCGTGCGCCACTTGAGGACAGCGCAGGAGTTGGCCAAATCCATTCGCATCATGGAGGCTGCGATCTTCTTTGTAGAGGACGCTGATGTGGAAAAGGGCATCCAGCACGCGAAAAATTTCGTGGTTGGCTACATGTGGTTGGCCCATGCTTCCTTTGTGGAAGCCACGTGCTTGTTCAAACAGCGCCCAAAGAATCTAGCCTGCGCGCATATGTGGCATGTCAGTCTGCAAAGCTTTGGTGTTTTTGAGTGGTATATGTATATGCGTTCTTATGTGTATCTTAGGATGCACATCTGGCTGCACATGTGGGAGATTTGCAAAGCTTTGCGCGGGTGTAACCCTCGCATCAATTCGTGCTTTGCTGATGAGGATTTTGTGCGGATTCTCTGTGGTATAGTTGCTTAGCACTGAAACTTTTTCACCTGATAATAGCAACTTGTGGTTGCTGTTCAATTTCTGCCCTGAGGCTTCAGGATGTCACCACCGCGGTACAGCTGTGAACTGTATAAAGCGGTACTTGTTAAGTGCGACGGTGCACTGGCACAATGTCGTGGGAAAAACAGCTGCGCGTTGCATCTGTGGGGTTTCGGGCCATGCGCCAAAAGTTTGACGTTGTCGTTGTTTTTCTTTGGAAAATTGACGTTGACGTCGTTTGGGGTCAATGACGTTAAAAAACTTTGACGACTGGTTCTCCAGGATTCTCTTGCTACCAGGCGAGACCTCCTCATCCACCGTTTCTTCTGTTGGCCATCCGGCAGGGTTCTCGTCTTGATCCGCCAGTCTGGAACAAACTTGGTGGTGAGCTTGTCCAGGTAGAAGTCCTCCACCTTCAGGTCTTCGATGACTCCCATATTCTTCAACCTTCTTTCCTCAGTTTGATCAGCTAGAGCTTCAGCTTCATCGCTCGGTTGAGGTGGTGTTCTTGTCAAAGTTGCTTCACTCCACACCTCTGGCTGATCTTGTTCTTGGACAGCTGGCGTAACATCCTCGTCCACCTCTAGCTCGATGGTTTCTGACTCAATCACTTCATCGAGGTGGTACATCTCCTCTTCTCCGACGCACACCTTCTCAACTCGTCGTTCCACCATCTGCTCATGGGATGTAGGTTGAGGCGTGCTCGATGATGCTGCTCCAGGCTCTTCTCGCCTTGCCCTTTTTGCACTCTCCTCCTCTATCCTCTGTTTCTTGAACTCTGGCTCTGCTTTCACTGCTGAAAGGGGTGGCGCTGACTTCTTCAGTGCTCTCCCTGCCGAGAGACTCCCTTGCTCCTCCCATGGCATTGGCAACACTACCGTGGTTGGCACTGAGCTCCTCTCCCCAGACTGACTTGCAGGAGCTGGGGTTGTTGGCATTCCTCCTCGCGGCTCTTCTTCGACTTGTGGAGCTCGTGGGGCTGGTTCGCCTTCTCCCCCTTCAGGTGCCAGCAGTTCCGGCGCTCTTGTCTCCTCCAATTCCCTCTGAGCCTCTTCTTGGCCTTCCTTCGACTCTGCATAGGCCTGAACTGCTTCAGCATCTTCATCTCGGGTGTCGGAAGAGGATCATGTCCATTGGTGGAAAGTTGCCTGACTTCAAAGCTACTGGTCCCAAAGCTCTTTTGGTAGGGACTACTCTTCCACCAAAGCTAACCTGGTACTCCCATGTGTAGGTCTGGAAGTCCTGGTAGAGGCACCGTGCACATTAGCATCCGAGATTGCGCACTTCCTCAATTGCGCTGCAATCATCGACCTCACTCCCGGAAGCGGTCACTTTGCACTCTGGGCTATCAAGAAGCGATTGCCTTACGTAGGGGTAGTGATGACGGAGGTTCACGGCGATTTGCTACAGAAACGATTGGTGACAAAGATGATCGAAGCTATGCTGGACCCCAACGATGCTGACCTCTCCTCCTCCGGCTGGCTCTTCTTCTCCATAGATGTCCACGGTTTCTTCATCAGGAGGTCTTCCAGACGGTCTTGGGGTCCTGTCGATGACTCCCGCCTTGGTATAGCAAAAATCCAGGCTGATTGGCAGGCCAGTCAACCTCGATGCACCTGACCTCAGGTGTCTATCTGGTCGTCCACGATGCATCAGGCAGCATTGGCACCATGATCAAAGGTGGTGCTCTTGGCTGCCGAGATTCTTCCATCTGGGCTGCTGCTACGGCCTCTGCTGCCGCTTTCAGCTCTCTCTCCCTCATATGGGGAGACCAATCTCTCAAAACATTTGCTTCGACTTACGCCGAAGAAGTTGCAGGCTGCCCTCAACTGTCTCAGGGGCGATGTTGCACACAGTTCAACTTCGTTCACCACAATCTTCTCAGGCAGCACTTTGCCCACGACCAGTCTCCCTTCTTGCTCCACATCAGCTGGCTGTGGTACGTGTCCATCTGCCTGTTCCCTGCGCATTGGGCTCCTCGAATGGCAACTCACACTCCTTGACTTCCAGTTGGGCTGGTGGCAGCGCTTCCTCCACCTCAAACCCCATCTCCTCAGTGCTCATGCCTTCCTTGGTCAAGATGGTGAGCACCAACTGCTTCTCTGTGATGCCCTCAATGGCCTCCTCTTGGTCAGCCATGGCATGTAGAGGTTGACGCATTTCCATGAGCAACCATTTGCCCTCTCTCTTGACCAAAGTGGTCCGCTTCCAGTCCACCTTCGAAGTGATCTCCGGCGCGTACTGCGGGGCAATCCAGGTGTCCTCCAGCTCCTCCGATAGCTTGGCCTTCAAGCCATCTGCCATCCTTGGTTCCACCTGTATGGCTCGCACACTTCCCTCTGCAACTAGGCTCTCGTTCTGCATCTTCAAGGGAATGCGCACCTGTCCATCTCCAGGGGGTCCAAACGTCAGTGCTGGTTGAGTTCCATCGATGCCCCAACCACTTGACATCATCTTGCCAAAGGACAGGATTGGCTGCCCTATCCCCTCTGCAAAGTGGGCCTTCTCCTTGATCTCCACCTTGCGACCATCTTCTGTCTCAAAGTAGAAGTTCGCACTCTTGTAGCCCTTGATCTTGATGGCTTCGCCCTGTGCATCCTGCAACTTTGGCGCTTCTCGACCAAGGTACGTGCCAACATCGATGTAGCATCTGCTCCGGAGTCTATCACTATGTCACAGGAGTCCTCCGAAGCTTCAAACCACTCATCTCCTCCTTCTCTTACCATTCGAACTTCCAACTGAAGCTCTTCCTCCTCATCGGCCGCATCCTCCTCGGCCATGTTGTAGAAGGCAATCATCTTGATGCTGCCCTCCATTCCTGCATCACCTCCCAAGTCACGAAGGTCACAGAGTCAAGACGAGGGGGTGTGTTGAATTCTTGTGAAACTGCTTCAATCCTCTTGATCGCCGGCCTCGTAGTCGTCACCTGGCTGCTTCCTGCTGAGCTGAGGATTGTTGCGGATTCCGTCTTGTCTCCTCCACCCGCGGATTCCGCCACCTGTCGAACTCGCCAACAGTCTCTGGCCAAATGCCCAGGTTTGCCGCAGACATAGCACTCCTTCACCGGTTGGGCCTTTCCTTTGCCCTTTTGTTGCTCTCCCTTTCCGGAACTCTTGTAGCCCCCTTTGTGTTGAGAGGCTTCTTGGCCCTTCTGACCCTTTCCTTTGGACTTGGCATCCTTGGGATCACCTTTGCCCTTAGGGCCTTTACCCTTTGCTTGCAACCTGTCGATCTCCATGGGCACTGCTCCATCTTTACTCTCCTGACCCAGCATCATTGCACTGCTCCATCGAAGTGTAGCCCCATCGTACTGGATCACTGCCTCACGGAGTTGGCTGTAGCTTTGGCTTTAAGCAACGTTCAACTGGAGCCATGTCTTCAGTTGTCCTGAGACACACTTCATGAGGATGGCGAACTTGATGGTGTCCTCCAGTCTGGCTCCCGTGCGCTCGTACTCAGTGAAGCCCTCCTCAAGCTTGAGCAACTGGTTGAAGAGGCCGCCTTTCCTCATGTCAAACGGGCTCCACTCTAGCAGCATCGTCAACAGGCCCAAGCTTCTGTTCTTGCTTGCTGGTTCGAGGCTCTGGATCAGCTGTCGATAGGCCTCGAAGCCGTTGGCATTCTTGACCTGCTTGATCATCGCCAGGGGCCTTTGCCTGACCAATGAGGCCAGCAGCGAAAACTTCCCCGCTGTTTCTCCTCTTCGGCTTGGATGCTCTGGTCAACCTCTCTTGTAGGATGGTCTCGAAGCTCTTGGAAATCGCTGGGGAATTCTGGGTCTAGCGAGGCAAGGTATTGCTCAAGCCCCCAGCTGAAGTCCCTCCATTGCGCAAGCTCATCCTCCCTTGACTTCGGGTCGAAACCAGCGGGTTTTGGAGGATCTTGAACCAGGAGCGATCTTCACCTCCACCCATCCTCCTTTCCAGTGCAGCGGCTGCAGCTTGTGCAGCTACACTTGCTGCTTCGGTGGCCATCATCATGCGCCTTGCAACCTCAGCGCCATCCAAAGCCGCCGTAGTGGGAGTGGAGGGTTGTCCTCCTCCAAGTCCAGCCATGCCAGTCAGGTAGAGCTCGATCACCGTGAAATCCTAATCTTGTACTTCAGGGACCCTCTTGCAGTGATTGCTCGATCACCTCCTCCAAGGCTTCCGCTGTAGCTCAAGGGCGCGCTCCGCCTGGCGCCCTTGGGGATTGGGTCCTGTCCCCAGATCCGCGAGCCTCCCCCCTGACCTTACGGAAAGGCCATGCGGATCTTTGAGCTCTCAAGGCGGTCTGCGGTACACTTCTCGTTTGTGCGTGTGTCGTTTGACATCACTGCTTCACTAGTTCACGTATTGGGCTTGAGTGCTCTGTTCCTAGTTTCGCATTACACCAAATATCATATTGTAACAAGTCTAGTATACAGTAGATTATCACATTAGTCCAAGTCTTGACTTATTTAACTTCGTTCCTCGTTCGTCACCTCCTTCACCAACCAATTGCCCCGCGCGACTGCATGGCGCTCCCTGCATGGCGCCAACCGCCTCTCCGGGCCGCAGCAGTTGCTGAGCTCCAGCGTCGGAGCCCGAGAGGGAGCCGAAGTTCTGATAGTCTTGGCCTCGGATTCTTCCCCAAGCAGTGTGATGTGACATCAGGAAAAGCATCAGGTGGTTGGAGGATGTAGGGCCAGGGATATGTACGGTACAGTGGCTTAGAACATGTGACTTGGAACGTGTTGGTGAAGTTGTTCTAGGACGTTCCAGCTACGCGATGCGCATGTTCTGCTTGGAAAAGGCTTCACTGAAAGGTCAGTGTGGTTGGAACATGTTTGTTGATCTATGAATATAGCTGTTGCCAGCACTATACACGGGTTACGCTTTAACGCATCTGTGCTTCCAGCTGTGCTTTGAACAATGGCATCGATTCTCCCTTGCTTCTGGCATTTGGTGTATTTCCATCCATCGCCCAATACAACCGTTTTGTGCCTTGGGTGAACAACGGCTTGAACATCACCTTGCCAGGCGCAAGGTTTCGCCAACATGTTCGCCATCTTGCTTCTCCATGCTTCTCCCCAATGATTGAAGATGAACAAATTACACGTGGCTCCCAGAGTTCCAAGCATAGGGGGCGAGTGAACGGGGCATTATTAAGTTGTTGTGGCGTAGCATGGCGTAGCTACAGCTGGACCTTCTCTCTCTTGTGAAACATGTCTTGTGGTCTTTTGACACCAAACTTGGACTGTATCTACCAGACGTTGCAAGATCTTAGCCTGGTCGAGCTGGTGTTTGTCGGCGAGGGTTTGGCATCGCCTGCCCGGTGTCGTGCCATGGTTTCGAACCTGGTCTGTCTAGGTTTTGCTGTTTGGTCTGGTGAGCTTTGGTCCAGGCCACGTGGAAATATCTGCCATTGAGCAGCTCCTTGATGGGCACCCACAGATCTATAGGTTGCATCACGTTACATCTGGTTTTGATGCCTTTGCAATGCTTGAGTTTGAGGAGGTTCTTCCAAACTGTTTTGGCATGTGTGTTGAACTCCAGGTGGTGCTCATGGGTTGTGTGCGTTCCAGCAGGGCTTTGATGGCGGAAATCTCTGCTCTGGGAAACCGTGAACCGCCTGTTTTCCTGGCGCGGTGCCTGTGATGGTTCCGCTGCCGGCAACAACTGCATAGGCGACGATGTGAAGTCATTTCTCGGTGGTGTGTGGTCCTCTGCTGCCGGCCACTGCCATCTGTTGAAAACACATGGTGACATAGTGGTCACTTTGTAGCTGCCGTTGGTTGTTCCACACACCAGGTGGTGTGCTTTGCTTGGATGATTTCATCTGTTGCTCCACAGTTGGGACATGGGTCATGTCCAAGTTCGGGATTTGCTGCGGGCTCCTTTTGGCTAATTAGCTTCCTGAAAGAAATTGCGAAAAGTGAGATCAGCCCCTTTCTGGAGTTCGTCTCCTCCTTGATGTCTGCTTGCTTGTTGCCAAAGTGCTGCCTCGTTTGTCCTTGTGTTTTTGAAACATTGAAATGCGAGTGGGTGCAATGTTGGGGTCTTCAAAGTCAAACTTTATCAGCTCTTGCCGTTTGTTCGTCCATATAGGTCAGGTTCAGCAGGTATCCAGCCTCGGTCTTTCGGAAATCCTCGATGATATTGGACCTGTGGTTTTGTTTCTAGTGTTGGGCAGATTGTAGCAAGTAAGTTCTGTGCAAATGACCTTCCGAAGCTTTGTGGTAATGAGGGTCTTGTCTGGTTCATTTTGGATGAGCCGGGTCCAAGTCCTCAGTGAGGGTCCTTGTCTTCATCCAGAAGCATTCTCATGGCCGTAGCGAGGATCACTGAGCAGCGCCTCAAACTTGTGCCTATACTTGTAGAAGCACTTCAAGATATCAGGCCCTTTGACAAACGGATGCGTGAATTGCAACAAACACAAATCTACAGCTTCACGCTTCAAGCGTTCCATGCAAAAAAGAGAAATCTGCAGTGTGATTATGTCGTCGAGGGAGCCCAAGTATCATGAGCTACATCCTCACGGGCCTTTGTGAATTTAGGTCAATAGCTTCTGCTTAAATTGGAAAAGGCTAGCTAGAAACCTCATCTTCTGGACGCCGTCATCCACATTATCCTCGGGAATCATGGCGCCAGCTAAAGTCTTGAGCCTATTTGGCATGCCTCCTCGACTCCTCAACTCGTATGAAGGAGGACACATCGTTGAAGAAGCATCCATTCTTGTCATCCTTGGAGTAGGGTAAACATGCCCCTGCAAGTGCTGTGGCATCTTCTCAATCTTTCTGATGAACCCGTGTCGTAGATGCGAAACATGTGATGTTGTAGTCCACAAGTCTTCATCCACCATAGATCCACCAGCTATGCAGTCATCAGCAAGAGTGCGTAGTACCAGTACCTATATATGGGCATGTCTACTCCTGCCTTCATTGCGTAAAGAACTCCACTTTCTGCGGTCGCGAGAGATGTTGCAAAGTCCTGACCGGCAGAAACCCATGCATCATTGGTAGGCCGCTAGGCAGCCAGCCATCCCTTCGTCTGCGATCCATTGGGCTCGATGTGCGATCCATGGTTGAGAGAAGAGTCGAAAATAGACAGCAGAAGGCAACTTCGACAAAGAGTGACAAACATCAGTTGGCTCCAAGAGTGACAGGATGCAACCATATGTTCTGATAGGAAAACATGCACCTTTGAAGGTCAGCAGGAATCTTCGAATCTTTGGAGCCTGGAGGCCAAGAAGTTGGGATACTTGTCCTTCTGATCATTACTGACGCAATCACTGCATGTCTCCTGATTGGTTGAGTCTGTCTCAAATTCTGCTATTACTGTTATTTCCTTGCGGAATCCCCAGGATGCAACGAATTGGTTCCTCCATAGACTCTGGGAATTTCAGTAACAAATGGAAGGAGAGCCAGCGGAGAAGGCACCCAGCGATCATAAGTAGGGTTGGGAGGGAAATAGACAAAGAGCTCAGTTGATGCCTCGATCAACACTAGGATGACGGCAATCGAGGCAGCTGTTCACAAGAAGCAAAAGACTGAGGCGTGACAGGATGGGCTGCGTGCTCGGATGAGCATGTGTGCCCACTACTTTCGATGCCTGATTGTTTTCGTCATTTCACCGACGTGGTTCGTGCCATGCTTTGTGGTCGGTGTAGGCAAGCTGCTTTCGATCGCAGTGGGATTAGATCTTAATGGGGAGAGTGTGTGGAGTGATGCTCCAGACATTCGGCACATGTCAGCACCTAGGAATTCACAGGTGTGTTCTGTGACGCACCTTGGACGGTGGACTCGCCCTTTTCTGGAAGAGTTCAGGGATTTGATCCTTGGATGGTGTGATTTTCTCGCCATTTTCTGTATGCTTGTATGTTGGTGGGCTTTCGATACTCACCAGGCAGTAGGCCAGAGCGGTCAGTTAACGCTTCTAACGCTTCTCGGCTGCAATTTGATTTCACGCAACTCGGCAAATGAACCTGGCTATCAATGTTCAAACAGTGGCTGGGGTGTCTGTGGCCATTTGGCGCATTCCGTTTTTACTCTGTCACTGACTGGTCGATGCTTGGCTGGTTGGGTAGCGACATGGAGATGCTGCGAATCTTCTGGACGCTGGAAAAACCGCAGTGGAATTTTGCGTGGCTTACATGGTGAGTGTCCCCTTGCTGGACAAAGAGAATGTTTTGTGGTGATCTTTCGTTTGCTGCCGAGCCTTGGTGGTTGTGTGATGTGGGAGCAAGAGCTCCATGACAGCAAGGACCTCGCCACAGAGTCTAAAATTCAGCAGCGGCCTAATTCAGAATTCATCCGAGGACGAACTCGATTAGTTTTTGGGTACATGATGGTTAAAGGGATTGTCAACATCCCTGAGCATGACTTTGTTGTTCCCTTTCAACGGTTTGGTGAGACTCGCAACCCCGGTCCTCCTACTGATGACCTCACGTCTGACGAGCTTTCAGTTCTTACGTTTAATCCTGCTCAAATCATGGGGCGGGAGGATGATGTTTGTAAGTGGCCTGGTATTTGGGGTGCTAGTGAAACCTCTCATACGGAGTGTTCTTTGCCTTTGGTTAGGTGCACAGCGTTTGGAGCCCCTGTGTCTCCCCTCTGGCCACTGTCCCTGGATCACATCGGGGAATAGCTTCTGGCACTGCTATCTTATTTAGACTTCCGGCACAACCTTTTCCTACCTTTGTGGTCAATGAGGATGCACATGCCACGGCACGATTTGTGGATGCAACTGTTCAAGTTTCTTGTGAAGTTGCCGCATATTGCGCCTGCATATACGGACCGGTGATTAATATTACGTACATGAATCCTGGTGCCATTTTCAACCTGATTTTCCATGAAGCTATTATGAAGGCTTCCAATTACAAGGGTCCTGCTGTGATTGTTGGAGATTTCAACATTGAGATTGACAATTTCCCGCCATGGATTTGGCTACAGAAACAAGGATGGCAAGATGCAGCATTGCTAGCTTTTCAGTTGTTTGGATGGGAACCTGAAATGACTACGAAAGGTGCAACTAGGAGATCTTCATTCTCATCAACCCTATTTTGGCTGCCAATTTGACCTCTTGGAAAACTTACAAGCCGTTTTCATTTGACTATCATCTGGTACTTAAAGCAACTTTCTCTTGGTCCACGGTCCTACGAGCACAAGTGCAATGGAAGTTGCCGGCGTCCATCGACAGATTCATTTTGGATGCTGGCTTGTTGACACTTTCAATCTCGACAAGGTGAGTTTGATCCTGGGATTTCTCAACCTGGCAATGTCATTCGTCGCTGGACCAAGCAAATTCGGAGATTGGAGGCATTCCAACACCAAGCTGTTGACAGCGTGCAGAATCCCTGTCCTAAGAAGGTGTTGATGCTGGAGGACCTCTGGCGTGCCATTTGTTGCGCCAAGCAAGGGCTTTCCTGGGGGGTTTCAATGTTGGGCTCTTGAATGTTGTCAGTTGTTCATCCAGTCTTCTTTGCCCTCCAGTGCATTGGCTAGGGAAGTGAAACAGGCTCTTCAAGAAGCTATTCAGGTGCCCTAGAAGGATTTCCATTGTGCCCAGTACCAAAGTCGGCGAGCCAAGATGCTTGCTGATATATTGCGGGGTGGTAGTCCGGCCTTCTCGTCGGTAAAAGACTTGTCAATCCCTCCGGTTCAGTTTGTGCCTTCTCTGTGCTCGGTGTCTGTTCCTAAACCACGGTGGAAAAAAGAGGGGCTTTCGAGCATGATCTGTGGGGAGGACATTTCCAACTTGGATCCGGATCTTCCAGTTGGGTTTCGTGAGCAGGTCTCAATCGTTAGTGTGCAGGACCACACCGTTCAGCTGTCCTGCCCGGTTGTTTGCAAGGCAGATCGACCGTTGGTTCTTGTTCAACGTGAACATACTGCTGTGAATGATAGGAGCAGGAGTTGGTTGCTGATGCCTGGGGTGAACTCTGAGCTCCCGATGACTCTCGTCATCACTGGCCAGGAGCGATGTAAGCGCTTGAAATGCTGCCAGAGCTGGATGCTTTTCCGGCTACACAGTTGACGGTTGATCGTTGGGATTTGATGCTCAAGCAGGTACCTAAGAAGAGCGCTCAGGGGGGGTAATTCTTTCACCCCGTATGAATTGCGTGTGGTGCCTACAGTCTTGAAAGAGTGGTTATTTCGGCTATTCCATACCGTCAAAAACACTGGAAGCTGGCCATTGAGGCTCACCACTGCCAAAGTGCAGCGACTTCACCAATGGATTGCCGTCCAATAACCATAGGCTCCACAGGTGCTGGGCAAAAAAATTTTCTGCAGAAGTGATGTCCCATCTGGTCACTTCTGTTGATGTTGGCACTGCTGGGGCCTCTGCAAGAGTCAGTGCTGACATGGTCATTGCACGTACGTTTTGTATGGTGGAAGATGCAACCATGGAGAACCGAAAGATCTTTGGACTGGTTGTGGACTTGGTCAAGTGGTTCAACAGAATTCCCAGGATGCTGTTGCTGGCTGCCTTCTTATGGATGGGTGTTCCCATTGGGTACTTGCGGGCTTTAGAAGGGATGCTTGACACGCTTCAAAGATTCACGGAGATTGCGCATCAAATGGGAGGTGCTATTCCTTCCTCTTGTGGTTTCCCTGAGGGGTGCGCCTTCAGTGTTGCGGCTATGTTGATGCTGACCATTTGGGCATCTAGCTGTTTGAAGTTCCATCACCCGTGTGTTGAGCCCAATTTTTTCGCCGAGAATTGGGCCTTTGTATGCGACACAGGACAAGTGCTGCAACTCGAAGGTTGGAGCTTTTCACACAATTTATTTCCATGGAAATCAGCCCTGGCAAGAGTTGGGTTTGGTCAAGCACCTATAGCCTATAAAGGTCGCAAGTCTGTTCGGTCAATTAGGATTGGTGGCTTAACCTTGCAGGTGAATCACAGAGTTACCGATATGGGGTGTGATGTTTCTTCTGGATGTGCAAAAGTAAAAGTCAAAAGCAACATTCGTGCGGGTTTTGAGCAGGACCAGCAAGAAAAATGTGCCCAAGGCTTTCAACATGCTGATGACCAATTCTTTTGGGCAGGGAATTGTTGCATATGGATCTGCTTTGGTGAATCGCGCAGACGCTGAGTGGAAGTCCTTGAGATGTTCAATGATTCAGTGCCTGGGGCGTGCTCGCTCAGGCTCCAGCCCATGCACCAGCCCATGGCTGTCTACGTGCGTTTGCCGCAAAGTGACAGATCCACAGTTGAGCGATACTTTGCGAAAGGTGAAGTTTTGGAGATCTTATTTCTTACATCATCCCTTTGATGCTGGTGGATTGTGTGAGAACTTGCAAAGTGCACATGTAAGGAGAGTGGGGCCTGCAGCCATTTTTCCGTTCGCCCTTTCCCAGGTTGGTTGGTCATGTGAAGCACAAGGCAGAATTGTCCATAAGAGTGGCCTAATTCCTCAATTGGCTTCGCGGCACCATCAAGCATGTGAGGATGGTTTTGCATGCCGCCTGGGCATGTGAGGTCGCCGAAAGGGTTTCACATATATAGGTCTACTTTCGATGTGCAAGCTTTCGATGCGAGTGTTTTCCAGGCCTGTTTGAGGAAATTGGATAGTAGATCACAGGGGGTTGTTCTGGCACTTGCGTGTGGAAAGAATGTCATGCATGTCATGCACACGTAGTTCTTTGAGTAAATATTGCCGAACCATCGACAGTGATACATGTCCCCTGTGTGGGGAACCTGACACAAGGACCATCGGATTTTCCAGTGTCCACACTTGCAGGACTTGCGGCAAAAGCATGACTCGCTTTTCCGTCTCATTGGCGATCTTCCGCTTGCCTTTCGAATTTTTGCATTGTTGAAACACAATGGCATGGGTGGATGATTAAGATGGCTTTGCCCGACCCACGAGTGGCCACCCTACAGTCTGCCACCACCTTATGCTATGGCGAATGTTTTTACTGACGGAAGCGCGTTCTTGCAAAACGTGGCAGAATTTACAATCTCTGCCAGTTCCGCTGTTTTGGTGCAAGGGGACATGGGAACTGTCGATGCTGGTTGCTTCAGGCTGATCATAGCTCGAGGGGAGAGGTGTATGCTATACTCCTCACTCTGCAGAAGGTTTGGTCAGTGCATGTGTTTCTGGATTGCAGCTCAGCTGTAACAGTGCTCATCTCGATGCTCGAAGCCAGGCAACAGGGGTTGGTTTTCCATGAACGGTTTATCGTTGTTTTGGGAGTGGTTCAAACACATCCCGTGGCTGGAAGCCAGTGGTGAGACCAGTTTGCTTGAGATCTACATCTCCGTTGCACTCCAAACTGGCTATGTGACTCCAGTTTTTAAACGTGGTTGGAAAAAAGAATCGATTCGCGCGGACTCAGCTCAGGATTTTTGTGCAGTTCTTTAAGGGGCTGGGATTGCTTTTCGAGTTTGATTCCTTCTCATGTCACCGTGGTCAGTTGAAACGGTTGGGCTTTCATAATCCGACCATGCATTTGATGAGAGCCGTGCAACTTCCGAATCACGAGAAGGTTGCTGATGCTTTGTGGCGATATTTCCATGCCGGACGCCGCTCCACTTTCAGCATGAAGGGAGCTTGGCGACCTTAACATCTGTCGTTGTACATAGGACCATTGTGCCAGCCTCACGCTTAGCTGGGGGTTGTCACTGCATGTCGTCGACTGCATGAAACTGCAAAGGCCAAAGACCCATTGGTTGGGGGTCTCCCTACTTAAAACACACACCAATAAGGGAATTCAAAGGAACATGCCCCAGGGCCCTAGGGCTAAAAAATGCTTTAAAACACACATGCTCAGAAGGTAGGGACCTCTGCATGACTGAGGCCGACGAAAATCGGACCCACCGGGTATCCCCGCTCGCGAGGCCCACCACCAACACCACCTGGCTGATTCAAATGCTAGTGTTTGGGCATAAAAGCTTTCGGTTGGATCAACCGCCATAGCCGGTTCAGACAAATCGAGAACACAGCAAGAGCAAACTATGTTCACAGATTTTCACATATGTATACCAAAATGTCTGCGCTAAAAACACTGCCTGGCAAAGTCATGATTAGTGACCCGCTCAGTTGGAGGGTTCAACATGAAATTTATGCACGTAAGTCCTAGTAATTCTAGACCGCTGCTGACTTCAGCATGTTGATTGCTAGTCAAGTGAGCATTATTCTGCAATTGTCCGAGGCTCTGCATCAAGTTGACATCTCATGGTACATAATCTTCATCTTCAAAAGAATCATAGCCTAGCCTCAATTAGTCAATTTGCGTCTACTACAGTCTGTTCACCTGTGATATTCTCTGTCCAGTATGTCCATGTTCAGCTGCATGGGTGAGACATCCATGATGCATACGCATGGCAAGGAACCTCAAATCAACCCGCCTTGCGTTGATGCGCCATCATGAAGGCCGGTTGAAGCTTCATCCACGCGCTATGAAGGGAACCTCAGAAAACCCCCGAAGAAGGCTGACTAAAGAACCAGTAACTAGATGTAACTAGTCAGTTTAGTTTGTAATGGAACTGTAGGAACTAGGGGACGCCCCATTTGGGTTTCAAATTTTGGCCCAGTGATCCAATTTAGGAACATAGGAGGTCCGCCGTTGGGTCTCCTGAAGCTCTGTCACTGGGGCCAAAAGACACTATAATTCAACCAAAGTGAAGAAGGCCATGCACGGGTCAATGATCATCCACAAAGGCTGACATGAGTTTTGCAAAGAACACTTGCAGACTTGGAGCAAATGAGCTCAAGTCGGACGTATATTTGTCCCAGAAACGTCTAGAAAACCAGTTAAGTGGCACATGCCAGCTCCCACTTGGGAATTACTTGCTGAATGGATGACTTGAGAATTGGCTCAAATGCTCGCCTTGGTGAATTCACGGGCCGAATAATTGTCGTTTATCATCGCTTATATATCTGCCGTTTTTCATGCTCGTCGAAAGATTCCAGGGGATGAAGCTAGACGAAAGTACAATGTTGACACACAACCCATCATGACCCAAAATGGTGATGGTTCGAACACAGACTTCCAAAATTGTATGCTACGAGTAAAATTGAAAAACAGGACGACAAACACTCCTGCACGTTCCTTGGGTCGTCCTTGATCCATCAGTTTAATCTATCACTTGATCCATCAGCAACCTGCAGCAAACCGCATCGGACTCCGCACCGATCACCGCTACTCCTCGGCTCCCAATGACCAAGTTCAAGGCGGCCACGCGGCCCTCCTGGAGTCGTGTTACCACCGAGCGCGAGAGCCCGCAGTTTCCGCATGGTGCTCATGCACCGGGTGCCACCCGGTGTGTGCTTTGTCGGTAGACGGGCACGCAAAAATGGTGCCCTTGGGCGTGGAGGGTCACACATGTCTCGGGAAAGGAGAGGTTGGGTCAAACAGTTGGATCTGTGGGAAAAATCGTGCATGTGAAACGCATGGTATGTCGTCGACATAAATGAGTGTGCCGCAGAATCTGCTCATGCGAGGACGATCCTAGTTGGAAGGAGACGGAACAATACAGAAATTATGCCTATGCCATCCCCTGCCTGCACGGCTCCCGTTTGGTCAATTGTTTGGGTTGGGAAAAAAGGACCGAGCCGGCTTCACTTGCATGAAGATCTTGTGGATCTGGCCAATAGGTTGGAGCATCCAACAAGCAGCTAAGGATAGGTGTCTGAGTAGGCAAGGCAATAAGAAACTAATATCATGCAAAAATAACACATGACGAACAGCTGAGCCCTCAATCCCAACATTCCACCAACAATACGCCCCGAAGGTTGAAAGGGGGTCCCTTTCGCCTTGAAACAACATACTTGCAAAATACGTTTGTATACTAAACATCTTGGAAGGCCACGTGCTGAAAAAACTACTTCAAACCAACCTCGGTGAAACTCTGTCCTCCGTCATGTTCACGTGGTTGGACCTGAAGTGACACCGATCTGCATCGTTGGGTTCACATTGGCTTCGCTCATCCGAACATCCAAAGACTTGAGCGCAGTTCGTCCCACATCGCCAGTCTCTTCAAGTCTCTTCACCCTGTTTCTCAGGAATATTCAATATTGTGTTGGGCACCTCGTTGGCTGATTGGGTGTGGGTCAAAACCCCTGCTTGACCTCTGAAAATTATGAAGAGCTGCTTGAAGTGAATCAATGCTCAGGACCTTCAACACGCTGTTCGCGCAAAGAAAAAGGAGGAACGCGCCAGGTTTAGATGGCCGCGCCACTGAGATGCAGCTCTCTTCCGCCAGGTGCGGTGTTTCAGAGATTGCAGACTTCAGGTGATCCACTCCGGACATTGCCACCGCCAAACACATATTTAAAAAAATCCAGAAACTGTGAACCTTAGCAGCCTTACGCCTCATCACTTTGCTCCGTGTGATTTTTTCTGGGGTTTTGCTTGCGAAAAGACCGGTGTAAGGTTCCAACATCTCAAAACGACAACCGCAAGTCATGCTAATAAATGGCTGCCATTCATATTATCTTCATGCTCTCCCTTGAGCATGCCCAAACCAATGATGTTGAGATGTTTAGCCTCAAAATTGATAAGTCAAAAGGCTTTGACTGCGTCATCCTTCAGCGCGCGGGCACAATGATGCTTGCTTATGGTGTTCCTAACAGGGCCAGTAACTATCTTCCTTAAGTTGTATGCCCAGCTTGAGAAATACTTGTCGTACAAGTCATGGGCATCACTTCCAGCTGGACAGCCAGGGTGACTGGGAACACCTGACCACCTTTGTTGCCACGACGGACTGGTCCATTTCCTTTGCTGACGTAACCATCCTCTTTTTCGTGCGAGGGTACAAAATGGATATCCTCCGCCATGAACGCTGCACTTTTCAGCAAATCATTTGCGGTGTTCAAGGGTGGCTCACCTTTCTTGGGAAGACTTTCAAATTCTCTCTCTCTCTCTCTCTGTGTCTCACCTTCCTGGAACCCCGGATGCCAAAAGCACCAGAACCTGGTGAAAAACACAATGCCAAATGGAATGATCCAGAGATGCGCCCCCTACTTTTCAAAAACTCAGAGCTTGAAGCTCTTGTTCGGGGAAAGGTTTAGCCATTAGGGAGTTTTGCTGTACAGTTTCTCCACCTTGTGCATCGCGGTTGATTTGAACAGCCCTTCGACAGGTTGAAAGCCGAGCCACCACGCTTGCCGCGCAGGTGGTTAGCATTGAAAATGCAGCCTCATTTTGTTTTGACCCTCCTTTAGAGTTTGACCCTGCCCGGCCCCTGGTCGGCCCTCGGGGGTCCATGACAGCCATTGAGGTTCACGATGGACAGGCTTAGGTTTCGCAGCCCCACCAGCTGCAGATAGGTGAGAGTGTGAGCCAAATCGAGGTAGTGGGTGATGTCCAAGAACTTCACCGACGCTTTGAGCTTGAGTGGTACAGTCGATGGGAAAAGCATTGTCATGTGCCCGACCATCATTGCGGCCCGCTGACGGAGCTCATAGATGAAATTCTTGTTCCACCGGCAGCAGATGCAGTCTCGTAAACCTAGTGCTGCCATAGGCCTTGATGGAGTTGCCAGGGGTGATTTGCTGGCCTTTCCACTGGCCAGTGGGGCCTGAACAATTACTGCATAGAGTGGTCTATGCGTTGCAAAAGCGTGATTCTGCAGAGGTGGTCAGTGACTACCGACCGGTCACAATCTTTCCACTGCCGTACCGTTGTTGGAGCTCCATCCGGGGCCGTTCCGCCATCTAACACTTATCGCCCTTTGCCCCAGCGATCCTTCACGGACCTCTGTCAGCGTAAGGTGGCGGATGCAATTTGTCTTAGAGCTATGCCAATCCCAGCAGATCCCTTTGAGTGGGGCCATCCTAGATGTGGTAAAGGCTTTCAATGCGCTACCAAGAATCCCCTTGTTTCGGGCCGCGGTTCATCTCAAGCTTGCGCCCGGGCTTTTGCGAGCCTGGTGGGCCTTTCTCGGGTTCATGACTCGGCATTTCTCAATACGTGCTTCTTTAAGTGTTGGCCAGTTGAGTGCCACTGGTTTTCCTGAAGGGTGTGTGTTGAGTGTGGTTGGCATGATGCTCTTCGACTTTTTCCTGGATAGATGGATGTACTGCCGTTGGCCACAGATCACCCTGACCACCTACGTTGACAACGTCACCATTGCCATGGGTGACGGAGGTGACCTGCCGCGGCAACTTGCCAGTTTGGAAGATTTTGTAGGAGCCTTTGACATGCAAATGGATGCCAAAAAGACGGTCACGTGGCTTGCGCCAAGCGCACTGTGCTGTTCGTCTTGACGTGAAAGATCTCGGAGGGCACCTCCAGTTTAGTCGCAGGCGCACAAACTTTTCCATCACCCAACGGTTGCAAGCGTTAGATGGACTCTGGACCCGCCTCGCACGTTGTCGTGGACCAATCCACCTCAAAGTCCGCGCGGTTCGGCAACGCGCATGGCCTAGTGCTTTTCACACCGCTTAAATTTGCAATATAGGACCAGCAATTTTTCAGCGCCAGCGTGCTCAGGTCATGAAAGCGGTGGGTCTGGCCAAACCAGGGTCAAATCCGGCCATCCAACTCTCGCTGCTTTGCCATCCGTGTACAGACACAGCTTTTTTTTGTCTTGTGGGATTCGGTTCGCATGGCTCCTTGATCATGTTAGCGCCCAGTTTGGTGAAGGTATGGCGCCAGGTCCCATAGCAGTTTTGCTGCATAGGCTACTGCAAATAGGATGGACCCATGTAAGAGGGGATGTACTGCAAATAGGATGGACCCATGTAAGAGGGGATGTGTTTCAAACCTGTGACGGCCAGCGCATTTCCTTGCTGGAGTCCCAAGTGCAGGTGCTCCGCATCTGGCTCCAAGAGTCCTGGCAAGCCAACGTTGTCAGATATGTGGCTCACCGCAGTGATTACGCAGGACTCGCTCAGGTCAATCCATGGATCACACAAGCCTCATGGTCCAAGTGGACCACTGCGCAACAAGGGATGTTGCGAGTTATTTTGAATGGTACGTTCATTTGTGCTAACCTCCACTTCGCCGAAGATAGCCGCACCTGGTGTCCTGCGTGTCCGACGAGGTCGATTCCCTGGATCACCGACATTGGCATTGCCGAGCAACTGAATCATCTCGGCGCAGCATTTCGGATGCGCGCAGAGCCTGGCTCCAGGCCCAGGCCCCGTGCACTCGCCGGAGAGGCTGGGCCACAACCCCATGTGGTGCTGAGTTGTGGGATAAAGCGGTTGGCATTGGTTTAATTGTTCCCAGATGGAGCACTAGATCATCCAGCAGGCAATATAGCCGCATCGCCTCCTGGGCAGTGGTTGCCGCCCATCATGAGAGGCCAAGTGAGTTCGTCCAACTTTCCCCTGGATTTGTGCCAGGCCTGTTGCACACGTCTGTTAGAGCCGAAATGCATGCAATCATTTCCTGTGCGAATTTGGAGTGACAACGAGTTGGCTGTCGCGCGCACCTCTAGAATGTTGAAGAGCGAATGGGGTTGTGATGCCGACCTGTGGAGTCAGATAGCACAGTTGGTCGAGCATGTCCACATCAGGGTGCGGATCCTAAAAGTCACCAGTCATGTTCCATTTGTTGCTTTGCCTGAAGAAGAGCAGTGGGTTCTTGAAGGTAATGCCTTAGCTGACACACTAGCTGGTTTGTTTTGGAGGGGTCCCCCACATCCAAGCCCTGGCCACCACTGTGCACACTGAGGTGGCCCAGTGTACCCAAATGATGAGGTCCATGGACACTTTGTCCGAGTCACTGAGATGTTCATAGCCTTTGGTCACTCGCAGCAGGTTGTTCGAATACACAGGTTAGACCCAGAAACCAAGCCCAGTGGTGACTCTCAGTGTTTGGATCCATTTTTGGCGGCGGACCGCTAAGTCTCATTTCCGATTTCCGGGATATATGCATTTGGTAGATTGGCTTGTCCCTGGATTCATTACATCCGTGGGCAAACAGCTTGGATGGCTTCCGCCGGCCGAAGCGGTGCCTCTTCCGTTGCCACGGATCACTCCTTGGACTTGAGGCCTGTTCGTTCGATGCTTTCGTTAGGTTGCCCTCAGGCGCCCGTCGCAGTCCGTTCGCCGACTCAGCGGGACTCAAAAGTGTGCGGCAAAAAGTGTGTGTGGTGTTTATGGGGTGGCCGTGGAAGCTGGCGGTCTTGTCAACCCTCCGTCTGGTTTGCAGGACGAGGTTTTGACCCGCTGCCGGAAATGACGAACTCAGCCTCATCACCGACCACAGCCCCAGATCATGGATTGGGTTTGACAGTTCTATGGTGTTGGGTGGGGGTCACAGCTCTCTGCGTCTTGTGTACTGTACACCCCAATCCGCAAGCCACCTCCCAACCCCTCGGGAATGGCCCCCGGAAAGACAATGTTCCAAGGGATTGTCCACTTCCATCTTTCCTGGAGAGAGGTTACACAGTCACACATTACCAATGCCATCGACTCCCCTGCCTCTGGTGGCAGAGCTTCCCAGAAGATCCACTCATAGGAGTCCCCAGTCGGAAAGGATTGTTTTTGACCTCTCCGATAAATTGCAGGGGTGGGGATCACCCGTCTTTTTTGGGATAACCGACAATAGGGCTCAAACTGGGCTCAAACCTGGCAAGAGGATTATGCGTTTAGGAAATGGCCATGAAAGACTAGACTCCCATCGTTTGGGTCACCGTCCACGTCCCCCCACTGGGTGGGCCGTGCCAGAAGCGGGTGCTGAAGCGGTCGATGCCGCTGCGTTCGTTCTCCGTGACGTGGAGTCGGAGCCCCTGGTAGCCGCACCTCGACAAGGCGGCGAAGTTGAGAAGGACCTGGGAACGAAAGAATATGGAAGGGGTCATAAAGGTCCCTAGTTTGTAACCAAAGTTCACAACATGTTCACGGTTGGGAAGTTGGAGGGCCATGACTTGCACTTTGACGATTGGTTACTGCTTTCTGACCGTGTGTTAGGACACACTGATCTGATCAACCTATAGTTTCTGTAAGTTTTCAACTGAATCCTTTCACAACATGGCCTATTAACGGTTCCCATTCTACTCTTTGCACCTGAATTCGTGTGTGTGTGTGAACTGCTAAGCCCTTCCAAAACTTCCCTTGACCTGCGCTACGCTGCGCTGTAAGCCCGACGCCAGCGCTGCAACAATGCCAACTCTTCAGGGTCCTCTTTTCACGACGGGCGTGTCGCGACAAAGACTGGGACCTTCCAGGCAAACTGTTTGGGGTAACATATGCGGGTCGTTTGGTTGGGGCATGGTCTTTTTCAGTGGTCTTACAGCAAAACCATGTGTGAGAATGTTCACAAGTAAACCACCAATTGGATCACTATTATAGTGGAGAACACGCAGTCACCGAGGCAGTCACAAAACATTTTCACATGTGCTCTGGATTGTTCTTGCAAACATCTGCAGCTTCTGTTTGCAAGACCGCGCAACAAACAACATGGTCAAACCATACAATGAAATCAACACATTGACATATACATTAATTTTGGCGGTTTTTGCATGTGTTTGTTAAGTTTGCCACGGAATTTGGTTTGTTTTGTATTTGGTTTTGTATTTGGTTCTGTGGAAATCTTAACCAAAGGCTGACAAACCGTTTTCTCCACACTTTCATTCGACCGGTGAAGAAGGGTCCCTGCAGATCCACAGCCGCAGGGTGAGCGGCTATCACGTGAACTCAAGAGGATGCTGGCCTTTCGGTCTGTACTTCAACTAGACGACAGGGTGGCCCGAAAGCAAGTAGGCGGAAGAGAACAAATAGAAGGGAAGAAAAGCGAAGTAACAGAAGATGAATGAGCACTAACGAAATGAAGAGATGATATATGATGATTCAAAACATTAAGATGAAACAAAATGAGATGATGATGAGATGACACAATATATAATAAAAATATATATATCTATATATATATACATTATGATTATGATACTATTATCACGTTATTACCAAATCTATTAATGTATATTCTGTTGCACTGTACTTCGGAGCCCAAACGGTAGTCCCGGTCGATTCTTTTTTTATCCAGCGCCGGTCGAGCTCAAACGCTAGTCCCGGTAGTAAGAGCCGCCGAAGTGTGCGAAATCGCACGTCCCAACCTGGCATCAGGACAACCAATGCTCATACAAATGCAACACTTGAAAAACAAAACAAATTACCCACAGTTCAACTCATGTTGTTTTGTCGGTTATCAGATATAGTTGCACACCCAGTCGGAACAGGATCGACTTCGAACAACTCTCGGTCGTGGATCTCGTGCCTTGTGG